GGGGGCGCCGGGGCCGCCGCCGCTCGGGGAAACGCCGCGCAGGTTCGCGCCGCGCGGCAACAGCCCGCGGGTTGCGATTGGCGCCGGTGTTGCTGTCCTGGGAAAGGAGCGCGGCGATTGGAGGAGCGGCGCGGCCCTGGGAGCCAATAGCGAGGCGGCTGCGCGGAGCACCGGCGTCCCCCGCCCCCGTCGAACCGCGTCCGCCCCAAACAATGAATGGGAGCGGCGAGCGCTGAGCGCGGCCCCGGAGCGCGGTGGGCATCGCTCCCCGGCCGCCCACCCGGCAAGGATGCCGAGGGCAGGGAAGGCGGGCCGGTCCCTGGGACTGCCGCGTGTCTTCTCTTTCTGTTTGTTCTTGCACAGCTCCTCTGCTCAGATCCGGTACAGCATCCCGGAGGAGCTCACCCGGGGCGCCTTCGTGGGCAACATCGCGAAGGACCTGGGCACCGATGTGGCGAAACTGGCGGCAGCTAATCTGCAGGTACTGTCCGATTCGGATTCCCAGTACTTCTCGGTCAATGTGAACACCGGTGTTATAATGGTCAGCGAGCGGATAGACCGGGAGCAGCTCTGCGGGCAGAACCCCCGCTGCTTCCTCCACCTGAAACTTGCCATCGAGAACCCAGTGGAGTTTTACCGCATTGAGGTGGAGATCCTGGATATCAATGATAACCCCCCACAGTTCCCCAGTGACGAGGTTTCCTTGCGCATCTATGAGCTGGCATCCCTGGGTGCCCGCTTCCCCATCCAGCCTGCCCAGGACCCAGACGTGGGCACCAACACCTTGCAGACCTATCACCTGAGTGCCAATGAGAACTTCAACCTCAACGTGAAGGCACGCACAGATGGTGGGAAGTTCCCTGAGCTGGTGCTGGAGAGGGCCCTGGACCGGGAACTCAGGGCTTTCCACCAGCTGGTCCTGACTGCCGAAGATGGGGGCTCTCCCCCTCAGTCCAGCAAGATACGCATCACTATTCAGGTCCTGGATGCCAATGACAACCACCCAGTCTTTGACAGACCCTCATACGGAGCCCGCTTGGTGGAGAACTCGCCGCTGGGCACCCTTGTGGTGAAGTTAAATGCCACTGATGTGGACGAAGGGCCCAACGGAGACATCCGCTACTCCCTCAGCAGCCACAACTCAGCTGCCTTACGCCAGATCTTTGCCATCGATGAGCAAACTGGGGAGATTCGCGTCCAGGGCAACCTGGACTTCGAGGAGGCAACGGTCTATGAGATCGAAGTGGAGGCCAAGGACATGGGGTCGCCCACGATGGAGGAGCACTGCAGCGTGGTGGTGGAAATCACTGATGTGAACGACAATGCTCCTGAGGTCATTCTTACCTCCTTCTCCAGCTCCCTGAGCGAGGATGCACCCCCGGGCACAGTGGTGGCCGTGATACACGTCAGAGACAGGGACTCTGGTGAGCAGGGCAAGGTCCAGTGTCACGTGTCTCCGGATCTTCCCTTCCAGCTGCGTAAGGACTATGAGCACCAGTACTCACTGCTAACCAGCACCCATTTGGACCGGGAGCATATTGCCTACTACAATGTCACTGTCTCTGCCTCGGACCTGGGCAGTCCCCCGCTCTCCCGCCACACCATCTTGCCAATTGCCCTGGCAGATGTCAATGACAATGCGCCCCAGTTTGAGCAAGCGTCCTATGAAGTGCTGGTGGCAGAAAACAACCCAGTGGGCAGCGTGCTGGTTACAGTCTCTGCTGCCGACCCTGACTCGGAGCAGAATTCCCGCCTCTCCTACTCCATCGTGCGAGCTGGTGGGACAGATCCAGGCCTGGATCCGACTCGCTACCTCTCCATACATCCCACAAATGGGCAGGTCTCTGCCAAACTCCCCTTTGACTATGAGCAAACCACCTATCTCCAGTTCCATGTGGAGGTCTCGGATGGTGGCTCCCCAGCCCTGAGGAACAGGACGCTGGTTCATGTTTTTATAGTGGACCAGAACGACAATGCCCCACGGGTGCATTTTCCCAGGGCTGGGGAGGACTCTGCTACCCAGTTACGAATCTCCCCCTCCACCACCCCTCCTGCTCTCATCACCAAGGTGGTGGCAATAGATGCGGACTCGGGGCGCAATGCCTGGCTCTCCTACCACCTCGTGGAAGCCACAGACCCAGGGCTTTTCAGTGTGGCCCTGCGCTCCGGGGAGATCCGGATCATGCGGGCCCTGCAGGAGTCGGATGCCTCTGCGCATGAACTGCTGGTGGTGGTCCGGGATGCTGGGGACCCCCCACTCTCCACAGCCGTCACACTGGTGGTGCTAGTGGAGGAGAAGGGCCCAGAGGCTTTGCAGGGCTCCGAGGCTCGGGCCACTGATGGTGGGGGCTTACCCACGATTACACTTTATCTGATTGTGTCCCTAGTTCTCATCTCCACTGTCTCGCTGGTGGGACTGGCAGCACTGGGCATACGGTGCCTCCGGCGGGGCTCTGCCCCTGCCAACCAGGGCTGCTGCGTGGAGAGCGTGAACACGCTGCAGCCCCCTCCCAGCCACATTTCTGGGCACTTGCACTATGAGCCTAAGCAAGGGGACATGGTGATGGGTGTCCAGGTGACAGCCACGGCACCCCCTGCTCCGCGTTACCGCTCCTGCTTTTCACCGGTCTCGGACATCAGTGAATTCATGTTTGTGAAACCCTCCGCGGGTCCAGCCGGTGCCAACCCGCCGGATCCCACCCTGTGCAGCGAGGTGAGCTCGGGAGCGTGTCCCCCTGCCTGACAGCAGCCCCGCTGCCTGCGGGGCTCGGCACCGGAGCGGCTCGGGGTGCGGCACCGCCAGCCGGCTTTGGTGAGGGGGTGCCCGCCGGTGCCCGCTCCCAGCAGCCGGGAGGGGTGGAGCGGGGATTCCCGCTGCCGGGAGTCCCCGGCGCCCTCCCGGCGCTGCGG